AAGAAACTTCTGGTTCACATGCTGGAGAATCACTGTGATTTTTCTCTTCATTTTGCTGTAAGGTCGACTCTGCTTTCTGTACTTTCAGGCAAACCATTTGTTGTCAAGGGGGCTGACAAAGAAACCTTTGGTCGATTAAGTGGCCTAGGTGTTCCAGGCCCATTTATGTTAGACCTCTCAGTATAGCTTGGTGAATTTCCAGGAAACATAACACCATTCATTCGATTTAAACTGTTGGAATTATTTTTCTCTGACGAAGGATAAACACAGCTTACAACCAGGACATTCTTTTCTACTCCTCTGAGAAACTTGTCTGTTCCTGTATAGTTTCTCCTTGGATCTGTTAACAATTCACATAGTCGCTGAATAGTAAAAGGGATACCATTAAATCCAATGACAATTTTCAGTATTCTTTCCTTCATCTCATCAAAGGGAATATATTCTACATTAGGATTTGGAGGACCTCTTGGTTCAGGAGCTGAAGTTCTGAAATCATCCATCACTTTCTCCAGTTTGAATATAAAATAGCCTTTAAATTGGGACCACTGAATCATTGTTTCTCCAGTCTTGGCTACATGACAAAGAAACTGATCCAGGACAGGACAAACTTCCTTTTTCCACCTTTTCTCAAAATCTTTCAGCGCCTCCTGCAGCCTCTCGACGTCCATGGCTTCCCGAAGTCCCTCGCAGCCTCAGCCTCCCCTTCGCGGGTCTCCCGGGGACCAGAGCGCCTCCCCCCACCCCCCCCCCCCCCGACGCCCGCCCCCTCCCTTGCACACACTCCAGCACGCAGGCGACTGGGGGGGGGGCACCGAAGGGAGCCGGGGGAAGCGAGCGACGGAGCGAGACCGAGAGAGCGAGCACCTCCCGGAGCCGCTACCCCCAGCCCTCCAACATGGCGCCCGGCACGTCACTTTTTTTATTTTAAAGAGAAAAAAAAAAACAAAAACATAAAAACACAGAATTTTTTTCTCTTGTCTCTTGTGTCCTTATATGGGATCAGGCAAAGTAGCAGATCTCCTTTGTGCAGTACTCTCTAGAGTAGACTATGCTCCTGGCAGAATCATGAAGTACAGCCAAGACTTGCTCGTTCTTGCCTTTCTGCTGGACTTTCTGAATTGCATAGTTTTCCCCAGTGCTATTTTGTTTTCCATTTTTAGCTAAGTCCAGCTTACTGCCATTTTATTCCCAAAGTTAGTTTTAATTAGTAAATAATGATTCTGAAAGAATATTCTTTTTTTCCCGAAAGAATATTCTTATCTTCATTAGAGTGCTTGAACTGTGATCATGGAATTCTACTTATAAAATATAGTCTTTAAAAATAGTTGCATATTACAAAGAAAATTGACTATCAGTTCCATTTGATTAATGTAAATGTTTCCATTTTCTCCTATCATTGTTTTAAAAATGTTATTAGGCTTGTTCATACAGAAATACCTGTGGAAGACTGAAATTATTCTAAGGCCAACTCTAGAGGTGATGGCCCAAGATGGAAAATTTAAGTTTGTGGGCAAAAGGATTGTGGTTTTTATGGAAGTGGGAAACTTTGACATCCCAAATTGAGTTAGATTTATTTTCCTGGAGATGTAATCCCATATTTGGTATTGGATTAAATACTGAGATAACTATTCTCAGTATATTGTAGGACAAATGATTTTTCTTTGTCAACCTAAATATTTAATCTCTACGTTTATGTCTGTAGGAATAAAAATCAAAGCCTTTAATGTATTTTAGGAGATCTGCAGTGTATAAACATTGTACTAGGTTGTCTCACGGAATGCAGATGTTAAGCTATTTCCCTCCCTTTCTGGATCTTAAATACTTTTGTTTGAAGCCGGGAGTGGTAGTGCACATCTGTAATCCCAGTACTTGGGAGGCTGAGGCAGGAGGATCACCCTGAATTTGAGGCCAGCCTGGATTACATAGTGAGTTCAAGGTCAGTCTGAACTACAAAGTGAGACCCTGTTCCAAAAAAACAATAAACAAATTTGTTTGAAAGTTATGGTTAGATAATATATGTTATGTATATGTACCAACTCCCCAGAAGGAAATGTACTACAAACATGAACTAATAAAAATTAAAAATTGACAATCTCAAAATTTTGGTTGGAGTTTACAAATGAGCAGAAATCTAAATATTAACTGCACTAGTAGTTCCTAGATTTTTTAATATTATAGACATTTAAAATGAAAAAAAAGTGAAATAAAACACAAGATAATTCTATTTCTAATAAAATCATTAGAGAAAATTGCTATTTACTGTCAATATTAGTTCATATCAGAGACTTTTTTTTTTTCCAAACAAAAGAGTAGGACAGAATAATTTCTAAAATAGGAGTAGTTCAGTAAAAATTTTTAAGTTGGGATACCTGGAAGTGTGAGTATAGTTCATGATTATTGTTTTAAATTTTGCCATATACTTTTTATATAAATCAGGGTTTTGAAACTACTGTTGTAGAACTGGATCAGTAGTTTGTAAATGAGTTAGCAAATATCTCAGGCTTTTCAGGTCTTGTGATCTCTGTTTCAGCCATTCAACCCTACCACTGTAGTGTGAAAGTTGATAATGACAGTAGGTAAACTCTGTAGGTGTGTTTTATGATAAAACTTTATTTAGGAAAATAAAAACTGGTAGGCTAGATTTGGCCATTAGATTGCAGTTGATAGACTTTCTTTCCTAAATAAATTAATTTATTCCATTATAAGAGGCCTGCATTCCAGAGACAATAACTCTTAACTAAAAAGTGCTGGGAAAATTTACATTTTAATGAGATTTATTCAGTAACTATTTATGGGGGCTGTATGTGATATAACCAGATTATCCCAGTTGTGGTAATTGAAAAATGGTTCATGAGTGGAATATGATTTTTTATTTTTCCTAATAGAGATAGTTCACCTTTTGGATCTTATTTCGCCTCACTTGAAAAATATAGTAAGATAAGTAGATTATGTTGCTTGTCTAGCAACATTTGAAACCAATTTGGGGATGTGTTTTCTGAGTTTAAGAACTAATGACATAAAAGGGTAGCATAGAATTGCCAATTTGAGCTGTACTTTGGGAACAGTTTACTTACATCGGAGATTTTTTTTTTTTTTAACATTGAACTTACTAAAATTCTGTTCTTACCCTCTACTGAAATCTTTCCCAAGTCTGATTCTCTAAACGTGGTTGCTAACCATAGAAGTGTAGTACTGCAAATCATACTTCTTTCCAGAAATTTCTACTTGAAATTTTTGACATATAGTGGAGATGCTAGTAATACAATGATCATAAAGCCAACATCATTTATCATTAGGACCAAGGGTTTTTATCTATGTTAACTACCCTTGTACACATTTTTTCATATCTTTTAATCAGTGTGCATTAGATCCTGTCATATACCCACTTAAGGATGTTACATTAATAATTCTTTTTTTCCTTCATTGTCACTTTTTCTTTTAAGCTTCTATTTATTATTTATTAATTAATTTATTTATTTTGGTACTGGGAATCAAACCCAGGACCTTGTACTTGCCAAGCAGGCACTTGTACCAGTGAACTATATCGGCGGCTGGGGAGATGGCTCAGTGGAATAAGTGCTTCCCTGGCAAGCACAAGGTTCTGAGTTCAATCCCCGGTTCCACAAAAAAACAAAAAACTCAGAACCAATGAGCTATATCCCCTAAACTTCTACTTCTAGAGTAGTCCTATTAGTGCAGTACAATATCATGTTGGTCTCTTTCCTTCCTACATGTAAACAAATTTTTTTGCACTCCCTATTCTTGTCCAGTTATAGTTCCTTTTCTTCAGTTTCCTTTTTTACTGGGAAGGTTTTAAGAAAAGGAGTTGTCTGGCTTCCCTTGTTTTCCTTTTCTTTCACTATTCAGTGTACTTGGGTGAGGCTACACCTCCCATCTTCTACTTAAGTACTTTTGTTGAGATCACTAATGATTTCTACTTTGACAAATCATAGTTGACCTCTCAGCACCATGTGACATATTGAATACTCCCTCAATCTTGAACAGTTTTCTTCACCAATTCCCTTCGTCTTTTTTTCTGTCTCTTGCTGGACTTTCCATCTTTCTGTGACTTCTAAAAGGATTTCATTCTTGAGCTTCTTTTCTACTTGTAGTTATTCACTAATTTATCCAGTCTCAAGGTTTAGATTCTGTTTATATTCTGTCGTTCTGAAATAGAAAACTGTAGTCCACACATATCCTGCGACTCCAGTTTTATGCCTCTTCCTGCTGGGGCTTCAGCTCGGGGTGTGGGGAGTGCTAGGCAAGCACTCTATTTCTGAGGTGCATCTTGTGCTTAGACTCTGTTTAGACATTCAGATTGGTGTACTTGTAGGTTAGGAATAAAAGTAGATTATAGCATAGGTAGGCCAAAGGTGTGGGGTTCTAGAATGGTAGAAAAATATGGTTTGGAAATTAATCTTAGTGTCTGAACTTTGTGGGCAACTTTTTCTGTTGTCGTTGTGTTTTGTTTTTTTTAAAATCTAACTCCAACATTCAGGTATTTATCAAGCCTTCATAGTTGCACCTTATGACAGTGATTATCCATGAGTAAGAATTGTTAGACTCTCCTCCCCAGAGTGAGAAATATTCTCCCTCTTGCCTGTAACCAAAGCCTCACCCACACAGATAACTAAATTCCTGTTTGAGAATTGCTGGAACAGTTATTGGGCCCCTAAAGTAAGAGTTTTAAAAGTAGCCATATAGCACACTTTGAATTTTCTAAAGACCTCTCATTTCAATCTTCAGGAATTATTTAGTTGTTTTGAATGTTGAATTTTGGTGAATGCTTCAAGACATTGAAAATTTTAGGAATGATTTCTTGACCACTTTAGTAGCTGGAATAGAGCTTGTGGAAAGAGGTAAAAAGAAAGCTTAGTAGGGTTTTTTTGTTTTCTGGGGTTTTTTTTTTCTTTTTTGTAAGGATTACATAGACACATGATACCATTGATAACTTGTAATGTTTGACAAATTAACACTTTTCATTTTTTCTAATTCTTCAGGAACGCCTTTTTATCCAAGTCAGCCAGTATATCAGTCTGCACCTATCATAGTGCCTACACAGCAACAGCCCCCTCCAGCCAAGAGAGAGAAAAAAACTGTAAGAGATCCTTATTTTTCTTATTTTAAATTGGGAAGTTTAGTCACTTACCAAGTATGTTTATCCAGTTCTTAATCATCTCAGTTTGCAGTTGACCGTGCAGTTTTTTTTTTATTCTCCATTCTATCTCCACCACTCTACTTGACCTGGAGATTTTTGTGGCATATAACCAGAAGTTGTACTTAATACCCACTTTCACTGTTCACTAGACTGAGTGTGCTACATGACAACATGCGTTCAAGTTTGGGAATGAGGAAGTTTTGGAGTGTCATGGTCTTATTCAGTAGCATGAATTTCAGTTCTGTTTTTACATCCCAACTTTCCTTTACTACTAGATCTAATCAAGTCTGAACTCACTGGGGGTGGGGGGGCATGGGGAGAAGCACAACAGTAAAAGGAACCAAAGTATTGTAGAAATAAGATTTTTTTTTTTTTTTTTTTTTAACTTTTGAAGTAGATGTACAAAGAAACCAAGCATGGAATGGTGACACATGCCTGTAATCCCAGTGCTTGGAAAACAGACCGGAAGATCACAGTTGTAGGCTGGCCTGGGTTACATAGTCGAATCCTCTCCCCAAAACAAAATAACCAGAAAGCAGACTTTAGAAATGTATTCTAGGGTTAAAACATTTCAGGCCCCTTTCTGTCTCTCTCAGACAGAAGTTATCTCTCAATAAATTCTTCCTTTAAAAAAAAAAAGTAAATAATTTTTTTCAAAGAAATTATTCTGATTGTTTTTATTAAGTTACCGGGGTTTTACCTCTGACCAAGAAAGGCAAGCCCAAGAGAATTAAGAGTATACATAGTAGTATATGAAATTCAAGGTGTAGAACATTTTGTACGAGAATGGCTTGCTGTTACTTTCATCAGAATACACAAAATGGGTGAAGTTTAAAATGACTCAAATTCAAACAGGTGAGATATATGAAAGTGGCATTATCACCATATTCTTAAAATACTGAAAATTAATAATATCCCAAACATGATACTTTATTAATTAGAAAATTCCTTGTGTACATGTCATAATAAATAGGGCATGCTAGAGTGTCATGATCTTATAGTCAGCAAACCATGCTTTAGAAATATTAAATCAGCATCTAGAATTTGAACTTTAACACTTTTTACAGTGGAGAAAATGAAAAAAAGTGGCAATGAAAATGGGAGAAAGTAGTGATAGATGTTAATGAAGGTAGTAGAAACAAATTTCCATACCTGAGGGAGCTGATGCGGAAATTCTTCTTGTAGAACTGCTCCTTTGTAAGTGTCCAGATCCAGGGGGCATCATTAATGAATTCTCTGAAATTTTCAAGAATCCAAAGCTTCGCTAATTAGGTTGTAGGTTTGTAGGAAATAAACAATAGCAGGGGCCGTGGATGCCTCAGCGCTGCCCTGCCATGAGGTATGCAGATACAGATACTCCCGTCGCCAGCTTAGCACCACCCCAGTGATGTCTGTAAGCACAGGTAGTCTTGAAAAGGAGAAAATTGTATATGCTGTTTGTATCTTTCTTTCTTTCTTCTTTTTCACTTAGCAATTCATTGTGATTATCATTCTGTATCAGGATGTGTAGATCTGCCACATTCTGGCTATTTGGTATTTAATTGTAAAGAAATGGGATAAGTTTTGAATTACTCTCTTCTTGACTTTATGATATTTCTATGTCTTTGGTGAAAAAAAGCAGTACTGCAGTGAGCGTCTTTACATAAGTACTTATATATAAATTTATTTGCTGAGTAATTTATGTTCCTGAATCATTATGTATGTACATTGTTCACTTTGAAAGAAAACCTTGAGAACCACGTAGAACATTTAAAATTTCTGTGTATTAAAGCTATTTTCTGAACCTTGTTTAAGTGCTATACATAGAATCAGTTTATCAATGTTAGTAAGTACAAATTTTGTCCTTTTAACTTAGAATTCTAGCCTATTATGTCCCTGTTTAACTTATTCTAATTATCTCATGTCAGACCTAATGTCCTAAAATTTTTTGAATTACCCTATATGTGATTTCAAGAATGTCATACATGATTATCAACGCCTTTAACTCATTATGTAGTTACACATCTTGTATACAGCTGACCCTCTGTACATTCCCCATTTTCCTTATCTTATAGATAAGAATTCGAGATCCAAACCAAGGAGGTAAAGACATAACTGAGGAGATTATGTCTGGAGGCGGCAGCAGAAATCCCACTCCACCCATAGGAAGACCCACATCCACACCTACTCCTCCTCAGGTAAGATGGTGGTCAGTGGTGGTTGTATTTGCTCACTAACCTCTGCTGAACTCGCCCTTTTTTTTCTATAGCTATTTTCTGTGCTACCATTCCATCAGTTGTGTCATAGTTTTGAGTATCCAAGTGGTATTTCAACAGATATGTTCTCTTTGAAAATTATTTTAATTCCAGATTTTGTTGGTGATATTTCTATGTGTTGTCTTCATATTCAGAGCTTAGCAGCTGCCGCTCTTCTTAATGTAGCATTCCATGATACCAAAAGGAGCTGTGTTTCTGTGGAAAGTCCTCATTAAGTGCATGGTTCATGTTTTTAGTATGGAACCCTCAGAATTAAATATTGCACACTATATTAATATAAACATTAAAGTTGAGAATTTTAAAATGTTTCTTGAGATCGTTGCCTGTGTTACCCAGAGACTGAGTGTATAATAGGTGTATTTTTACATTTTACAACTACTTAACTGAACTTCTTAAAAGGAAGATGTTTTCTGTTATTTACCAGTCTTACTGGTAAATCAAGGTAGATATCTTTTATTCTTTAGTATAGAATGTGTTTATCGTGATCACTCAGGAGTTCACTTTCTTGTCTTTAGAGATCAATACATTCTAGGAGGAGGTCAAGTTCATAAGCTATAGTAGAAAATGGTATTATCCTCTGAGGTTTTTATAAGGATTTTATTGCATTCTGGTTAAATTTATCAAAATTTAGAGTTGAATGATTTTGAAATATTAAAAATTGCATAAATTGGAAGCCTAACATATAAAAACACATAAGCAAAATTGTTAGAGTGCCACTTAATTTTTCAAAACTCTTATGGCTGGCAATCAAGTTTGTAAACAAATGGTATCTAGTCACAACAGCTTTTGGGAGAGTTTATAACAAGTGATATAAATGATCAAATATAAGATTTCAGAGTAATAATCTGTTGACTAATTTTCATACTATAGTTTAAAAATACTCTTAAATATTAAGGTCAAATATAGCTGAGGTTTTTTTTTGTTTTTGTTTTTGGTTTTTTGTGGAACCGGGGATTGAACTCGGGCCCTTGCACTTGCCAGAGAAGCGTTTATTCCACTGAGCCATCTCCCTGGCCCCGAATAGCTGAGGTTTTGAGAATGCTTTGTAAACTCTACAAGTCAGAGTTGGTCTTAAGACTTGTTTCTTTGTTGTAATGAGTTATCTTTTCATTTGGAAATAATGATGATCTCATGTCGATGAGATGTATATTTCAATATGTCTTTTTTTTTTTTCTTTTTGGTACGGGGAATTGAACTTAGGATCATGCGACTTGCCATGCAGACATTTGTCGTGCTGTGCTATATCTCTGGCCCTTCAGTCTGTCTTCATCCAGAGAGTATAGCATGTGACCTTGTGGATACATGAATTGTTAGGGTTGTGTCAGTGATCGTTGAAGACTGTTTCACCATCCCCCATCACACAGGGGTATTCGAACCCTGAAAGACTGCAATCTCTTCTTACCTGAAAGCTATCCTGGGACAGGCAAAATTTCTAAATTGAAGTTATCTATTTAGGTGCTGTGTTAGTAGTGGATATACTATGGCAAAAATTTGGAATTAGTTCATACCTCAGTCACATTTTAGTCTATGTTCTCAAATATTAATTAAAATATTACTGTCTATAAGTATAGCTAAGTTTCTTCATCAATTTTTGTTGAGAGTCTCAATTTGTACATGTATATGTATTTTTGCACTTGAATTCTCAGGAGGTGTTTGTTTTAATCATCTTCCAAGCTTGATCTTAACCTGCTTCTAGTTATCTTTCTGTCCTTCTTCACAGAAATCTTTTGCTTTGTATCTTTTCCCAAGCATGATGGGCCTAAAAATGAGAGAAGTATGTGTGTCTAAGTAACTATAAAATACAGAGAATGTATGCTTCTCAACAGGTAGTCATAATGGAGGTAACTCTTTGTAAGAATTGTGGTTACCGTCTATGAAGCATAAGTTCATTTGATTGGGTAATTTGTGTTTAAGTTGACCCTTTAAAATGTGTTGTTTTTTCAAAGGCACAAAATTCTTGGAAAGATGAAATACCTTTTTAAAGAGACACATATACTAGAAAAATTTCTTCTTAAAAACAATAGTACAATTGTGATATAACAAGTGCTATTGACTTCATTTTGTTGAAAAATCAAAGTGATGCTTGGGTAGAGGATGACCCTGGTTAATAGAAATGATCATTTCTGATTGTTATGTAAAATTACGTGCATTGTTTCAAAAGAAGTTAGAAATCTTCAGTTATGCTAAGAAAAACTAGAAGTTTGAAATATGGATAATTAATCCATTAATAAATGCTGTGGTGGCAGCTAAGGAAAATCCACTAGATTTAGCAAAGGGCTACTAATCTGCAGTTTCAGCATAATTCTAGATAATGTAATGAACCATGTTCTGGTCAGAAGTCTGCTGTTGAAGTGCTCCTCTGTATCAGAATTTAGTACCAAAGAATACTGGTTTTATAAGGTACTTGCTTTTAGTGACACAATTGCATATGCTGTAGATATAGCAGAGCCTTTCCCTACTATTGAAGAGATAATTATTCTATCCTTAAGGGAGACAAAGAACTATTTGCATGAATGTGTGTACAGTGGCAGTGTCTCAGTTATGAAAATAAGTGATCTACCACTAAGCTGCATCCCCAGTCCCTACTTACTAGTATCTAGCCTTTTTACCTGTGCTATGTATATAGTCATGAAATTCTACAGGTGACTGAGCAGGGTAGAATTGTAGCACAGCTGCAAAAATGACAGTCAACTGGGTATGCTGGTATATACATACAGTCCCAGCCCTCTGGGAGGTTGAGGCATGAAGATTGCAGGTCTGACCCCAATCTGGACAACTTAATGAAGTAACAAAACCTTGTTTCAAAAAAAAAAAAAAAAAGGTTAATGCAAAGGTTCTGGGTTTAGTCCTCAGTTAACCTCTTGCATACATACATACAAAAGTGACAGCTCACAGAGACTCCTTAATGGTGGTATAGGTGACATTATAGAAGGTAAAGGAGAAACAAACATCAGTGGTAACACTTCAAGCTAAAATATCTAGATTTATAGAAGACGTAACTTAGAATATATGTAGGGAATTTTGAAGAGTGGCATAATGACTTTGATTTAGGCATGTAAACAAGCTGTTCTGATTTTTTTTCCTTAATTCAGTCTTGAGGTCTCTTTATAATGACTGGCAGTAAATCGAGATAGCCAATGTTCAGGGGAACTGACCAGAGACAGGTGAAGCCTGGGTATGTAGGACAAACGAGACCTAATTAAGTGAATCTGTCCCTAAACAAAGTAAAATTTATTGCTTAAACGTCCCCTAGACCTCCTCTAGGGGTCCTGTCAGGAGGCCTGTGGGACTCTGGAAGCATCAGGAAAATCAACTAACTAGTGGGTGGGAAGAGAAAGACAAAAAGGGAAGATGACAAGGAGACTGCCTTTATTATTGTCCATGGCTGATCTCCCTTTGGCTTTTCCCATGTGGCTTTATAGGTTGGCAAATTTAAAGGAAACAACCACTCTGGAAGGGAGAACTTGTTTGTATATTACCTATGTCAGAGCTAAAGATGGATGATAAGGCAGCAACTATATATTTAAATATATATGCTACAAACTAAGAGCTCCTTGTGGGGAACTATATTTGAGTTATATAGTTTAGGAAAATACCCCTTCATCTGCATTTTTGCTTATTTGATAGATTAGGAGAAGCATTTAATTCTCACTTACTGACTTATAAAGTTAAGAATTTTTATGTTTGTTGTATCTCGTGAATTATCCACTTGAGCCCTCTGTACATATTTCTTTTGGGATGATATATAAGAGCTCTTTATATGTTGAAGAAACCCCCTTGACATATTTTTAGTCTGTGTTTTTGTGGCTGTAACAGAATACCATAGACTGGGTAACTTAGAAACAGTGGAAGTCTGAAAGCTATCCCTGGATAGGGAGGGCCTTCATGGTGCGTCCTCCTATGATACCAGGCAGAAAGGCAAGAGAAGGTGAGAACAACGGAGAAATAAAGGACTGCACTTTGCCTCCTAACAGATCTGCTCTTGTGATGACTAACCTACTTCCACAGTAACAGCACTCCTTTGATGAAAGCAGAGCCCTTAGGACTTAGACACTTGTTAGTCCCTACCTCTCTATAATGTTGCCTTGGGGATTGAGTTTCCAGAGCTGAACTTTGCATGACACTTTGAAACTATAACAGAATATTAACATGTCTATCTTATTTAATGATAGTGTTTTAACTGTGTTAGTAAACTTTGTGAATAGTGCCTTCTTTAACATAGTTTTTATATTTATAAATGTCTGTCTTAAATAATTTCTGTTTGGGGTTTATAGTTTGTGGTGGTGGTGGGTTTTGTTTTGGTTTTATGAGACAAGGTCATGCTGTGTGGTTCAGGCTAGGCTTGAACTCAAGGTGATCCTCTTGACTGAGCCTCTCAAGTGCTGGGATTATGGGTATATGCCACCACGTTTGGCTGGGGGTTTATACTTTGACTTTCCCATTCATGATAATAAAATCATTTAGTGAATTTTCGTATACCCAGATCTGTTCATGGGCTTTTCTGTTTCATTGATCTGTTTTAAATTGATTGCTGTCATGTGCGTGTGTGGGTGTCCTATCTTAAATACCTGTATTAGCCTGTTTTCAGTTACCAGAGACACAGTATCAGAGACTAGATGAGTTACAGAGTTTTATTTTGAGTCATGATTCTGGAGGTCTGCATTTGATGTTCTCTGCTGGCAGAGACCTGGGGTGATATACAAATATCACAAGGCAGGAGATAGGGAACATGTGGTGTGTGTGTGTGTGTGTGTGTGTGTGTGTGTGTAGCTTCTGTTTTCTTATTTCTTAAATAGTTACCTTATTTCTCCATGGGGACCAGTAATCTTATCTAATCTGGTTCCCACCCAAGGTCTCACCTCTCAGTAGCATAGTCTGATTCCATTCCCACCTTCTCAGTACTTCACAATGAGGTTTAAATT